TTCTTTTTCTGCAGCAGGAGGTCATTTTTTTTTTTGGTTGCATTACTACCACCATAGTTCATGCTGTGCATGCTGAACAGCATCATTGATTGCAATAATTTCACCTGCTGCTGGCATCTTAGCGTCCACTGTCCTACTGCCTGCCAGCTTGTAAACAAGTCAGTGGGCATCCCAAGAGACATCATCAAATAAGGTCATGAGCAGGGGTGGGCAAACTTTTTGACTTGAGGGCCGCAATGGGTTCATATATTGGACCCGGGGGCCGGACCAAGAGTAGATGAATGATGTGTATGTGTCATCCATAGTAAGTATAGTAATATTCCCCCATAGTAAGCATAGTAATTAATCCCCCATATAGTAATTCATCCCCCATAGTAATTCATCCCCCATATAGTAATTAATCCCCCATATAGTAATTCATCCCCCATAGTAATTCATCCCCCATATAGTAATTCATCCCCCATAGTAATTCATCCCCCATATAGTAATTCACCCCCCATAGTAATTCATCCCCCATATAGTAATTCATCCCCCATAGTAATTCATCCCCCATAGTAATTCATCCCCCATATAGTAATTCATCCCCCATAGTAATTCATCCCCCATATAGTAATTCATCCCCCATATAGTAATTCATCCCCCCTATAGTAATTCATCCCCCCTATAGTAATTCATTCCCCATATTAATTCATCCCCCATAGTACTATTCCCCCCCAAGTAGTAAGCCAAGTCCCCCCTGTGTCAATTTACTTACCTTTGCTCCGCGCGTTCCTCTCACCGTGTTCCCGCGCCGTTGCGGTCTTCAGGTCGGACTGTGAGAGGAGCCTAGCTCCCCTCATGTTCGTCACGCTGCCCGCCTACACACATCCTGACAGCCAATGTATCCCGCACCGTTCCGGTCTTCAGGGCGGACTGTGAGAGGAGCTTAGCTGTCACGCTGCCCTGCCTACACACATCCTGACAGCCAATGTATCACGCTCCGCGGGCCGGATCAAAAGGTCCGCCGGGCCGTATACGGCCCGCGGGCCGTAGTTTGCCCATTGCTGGTCATGACTATGTTTGGTCAATCATGTCAAAACAGCTCCCTGCCCCTTTGTTTATGTTCAGCCAGTACCTGTCAGCTGCAACAGCTCTTGACATTGTTTCTTTTCATGGGTTGTAGGTAATCATAATTCATTAAGATCTGCATCACTGGCTGACAATGGATTTATATTGTGGGACTTTTTCTGTTATTTTTTTTAATTGGACTTAAAAGGACTTTGTCAAAGGTGTCTATATGTTTAGTTAGGCTGTATTTTTTTGTGAATGAGTAACCAGGGGTACTGTGTTCTCATTACTCATTAATGTAGGGGAGACCGGTATCTGGGGGCTCAATTATTTTAAAGGAGGTTTGTGAATTTCAATAAGTCTCCTCCTGCCCACAGACTCCCACATCCACCAGGTCAGGGGTTGGAGGAAGATACACTGTGGATGCTGATGTTGGCACCAAGCAGAACAGTAAGGCAATACCCAGCACCATGTTCTAAGAAAATGGTGAATGTTGTATTCCTATAAAGCTTTCAGTTGGCTGTCATCCCTCTGCCTAAGGACATTTCCACTCCTGACTGGTTATTGGAAAGAGCGTCAGGGAGAAAAAGAGGGAACATTTATGCAAAGTAGATAAAGCTTACTAGTGTCAATGATTTGCGTGGTGAATTGCACTAGCACTAGTTCTTAGCAAGAAAGCTACCATGGTCTGAGATAAATGGATTTGCTAAGTTTTACTGACATTTATGTACATTTTTTATAACATTTAGTACACATAAATTGAAGAGATATGGATAATTTCAGCTTGGATACATGTGTTCACCAATCAGGTAAAATAAATGATAAAATGACAAGATAGCATTATATGTATATTTCAAACAGAACTAGATTTAGTTTTTAAAAGGGGACAATAGGTCTTTCAGGTCACAATGATACATTTTTTTTAAGAAATAGACCTAATAATTTGCATTCAATCATTTCCATCTGAATTACATATACAATTATCCAGCAGATGTGCAGTTATCCCAAGGGTTAGGCTGAGAGCAATTCAGACTCTTTATGGCATGTAAAAGCTTCCAAGCTTTTGGGTATTCCATCCAATGTGCATTGAATGTTAATGTGGAATGGTTTTCTAGGAATAGCAATTTCTAGAATACCAACTAGGAATATGCACATCAGTATTTATGCAAATAATTTTACCCTTATTAAAATTCCTAGGTGATATATTTTCAGGCATGTTGTTCCGTAACGACATTTCACTTTCAATAAATTGTTTGAATGTGTATTGAAAGGGTGCTATCTAGGCCTGGGTTTCCATTGTGCATCCATTTAAAATGCATCAAGGAGAAAATATTCTTAATGTATTATACAGGTGAAACTCAAAAAATTAGAATATCATGCAAAAGGTCATTTATTTCAGTAATGCAACTTAAAAGGTGAAACTATTATATGAGATAGACTCATTACATGCAAAGCAAGATAGTTCAAGCCGTGATTTGTCATAATTGTGATGATTATGGCTTACAGCTCATGAAAACCCCAAATCCACAATCTCAGAAAATTAGAATATTACATGCAATCAATAAAACAAGGATTGTACATAGAACAATATCGGACCTCTGAAAAGTATAAGCATGCATATGTACTCAGTACTTGGTTTGGGCCCCTTTTGCAGCAATTACTGCCTCAATGCGGCGTGGCATGGAAGCTATCAGCCTGTGGCACTGCTGAGGTGTTATGAAGACCAGGATGCTTCAATAGCGGCCTTCAGCTCTTTTGCATTGTTCGGTCTCATGTCTCTCATCTTTCTCTTGGCAATGCCCCATAGATTCTCTATGGGGTTCAGGTCAGGCGAGTTTGCTGGCCAATCAAGTACAGTAATCCCACGGTCATTGAACCAGGTTTTTGTGCTTTTGGCAGTGTGGGCAGGTGCCAAGACCTGCTGGAAAATGAAGTCAGCATCCCCATAAAGCTCATCTGCGGAAGGAAGCATGAAGTGCTCCAAAATCTCCTGGTAGACGGCTGCATTGACCCTGGACTTAATGAAGCACAGTGGACCAACACCAGCAGATGACATGGCTCCCCAAATCAACACAGACTGTGGAAACTTCACACTGGACTTCAAGCATCTTGCAGTGTGTGCCTCCATTCATACTCTGGGTCCTTGGTTCCCAAAGAGATGACTCTCATCAGAAAAGAGGACTTTGGACCACTGAGCAACAGACCAGGTCTGTTTTTCTTTAGCCCAGGTAAGACGATTCTGACGTTGTTTGTTGTTCAAGAGCGGCTTGACAAGAGGAATACGACATTTGAAGCCCATGTCCAGGATCCGTCTGTGTGTGGTGGCTCTTGATGCACTGACTCCAGCCTCAGTCCACTCCTTTTGAAAGTCCCCAACACTTTTGAATGGCCTTTTCCTGATAATCCTCTCCAGGCTGCGGTCATCCCTGTTGCTTGTGCAACTATTTCTTCCACACTTTTCCCTTCCACATAACTTTCTATTAATGTGCTTTGATACAGCACTTTGGGAACATGCAACTTCTTTTGCAATTACCTTTTGAGGCTTTCCCTCCTTTTTCTGCACAACTTTCAGGTCAGCAGTCTTTTCCATGATTGTGATTCCTACTGAACCAGTCTGAGAGACCATTTAAAGGGTCAGGAACCCTTTGCAGGTGTTATGGCTTAATTAGCTGATTAGAGTGGGACACTTTGAGCCTAGAATATTGCACCTTTTCACAATATTCTAATTTTCTGCGATTGTGGATTTGGGGTTTTCATGAGCTGTAAGCCATAATCATCACAAATATGACAAATCACGGCTTGAACTATCTTGCTTTGCATGTAATGAGTCTATCTCATATATTAGTTTCACCTTTTAAGTTGCATTACTGAAATAAATGAACTTTTGCATGATATTCTAATTTTTTGAGTTTCACCTGTACAACTATGTTTCCACCTGTTCTAGCAAATAAATATAGTAATAATTTCAAAGGTCAAGGAAGCAAACTAAGCATTAATGTTTTGCCCTTTGCACTAGAACTTTAAGTGGAACTTCAACCAATAGGGGAAGTTATGCTCTTCCTCCTACTCTCCCCTCCTCTGCCACATTTGGAATATATTTTTAGGGGGGGAGGAGCAGGTACCTAGTTTTGTAAGGTACCAGCTCCCACTTCTGGTCAGATCCCCCAGAAGGTCTCCCCTCAACATGCAACCTTCTGTGACACATACATTCACAAAGTTCAGCATTGCTCATGCATGTGCAGTGGGAAGTCGGCTGTGAAGCCACAAGGAGGCACAATCATCTGCCCACAGTTAACATGCCCACACGGGGGACCCAAAGATCAGTGAAGAACTGGCCTGGGTGAGGCTGGCCTGGGATCCTTGGACAGGTGAATATTTGTTTATTAAAAATCAGCAGTTACAGTTTTTATAGCTGCTGACTTTTAATTTTTGCAGAACTAAATGAAGATCCTCTTTAATATGCAGTATAATACTATGATCAAGAAACAGGGTATCCATTTGTTATGTTCTAACTTAAATATGCCATTTTGACACCTTTATCATTCAGACATTCTATTAAATACATTTTTTGAGAAGCACTCCCTTCTGCAGAGCTAAGAGGTATCCTAGTATCCTAGCAACCAGTGACCATGTGTAAATGACAGTGACATAGCAATTGAGGAGTGGGGGGGGGGGGGGTAGGGTAAGGTGCAAACAATGATGTATACTGTACACAAAGGGGTTGATTTACTAAAACTGGAGAGTGCAAAATGTGGTGCAGATTTTTGTTTTGTCAAAGTTTTAATTTTGCACTCGCCAGTTTTAGTAAATCAACCCCTATATGTATTACTTTGTTATCTTACTTTGACACTAAATTATATCCCTGTTCTTCAAAAATAATCCATACACATTCACTACTTAATAGCCATGCAATCTATTTTTTTTAATTATTAAATTGTTTCTTACTTTGTGTTTCTGCCTCCTTGTAACATAAATCAATGTTTAGATACACAAGCTGAAGTTAGAAGCTGATTGACTACCATGCACAGCTGCACCAGATTTTGCACTCTCCAGTTTTAGTAAATCCACCCCATTGAGTCTTCACTCTGAGCACTGGCCTGTGTTTGTACGTCAACATAGAGCTGGTTGCAATTACCTCTATTTTCCTTATCTGCGAGCTGGTGGTAATCCTTTTTAAAATTCTTACCAAAACTTTTGCAGGGCTTTCATGAATTGGCGCAGGATGTTTTAAAGAGACCATACCACTGTAAATGTGTCACAAATGCTTTAGTGAATCACACCTAATCCTTTACCTTCAAAGGAATTTAACCCCTATTTATCTTTGCAAAGTTGTTATCAGTAGCCCAGATTTCTCCATAACCAAAGCTAATATGATTGGTAGGCACTCTGCAAATGGCTCTCTTTAAAATATCTTCCATGTTTATATGCTACACTGATGATTTGCTGAAAAATGAACCTATAAAATGAATAAAACAATGACAATGAAACAAGGATATGCTGTTGCCCAGGAAAACAATTTCAGAGCAGCAAAATGCTATTTATTGCTTATCCCCAGAAGTCTCTGAACATGGTGTATATCAGTTATTTGTAGCAGCAAACAAAAATGTTCAGCACTTGTAACCTCAAATGGAAAATAGCATTGCTGCAATCTAGTTTCACCCAGATGAACACAGAAATGCATATAGTATGACATGAATTGTTTTACTATAGGAATGTGTAATTGTACTGTGTACAATACATCATAAAAGGTATTTTACTGCATAATTCTTCAATTTTGTTCATTCTTATTCACAAATTGTATCAGAGATATCATGAAAAATTCCTGCAGTATATTTGGTTATGATTAAGAGTATTCTGCAGAAAGTCCCCATCAAGCACACATTCACAAAATACACCCACCATAGACTAAAAATTTGTCCCCTGCTTCAAATCCTACCATAGCAGTTGCTGTGAATGAAATGAGAGTTCAGTGGGTAGAACTAACTAGAGCAATTGGCATAAAATCAAGCACAATAAACATGGTTAGGCCTATATTGGATCTCTAGTTGATAGAATCAGCTGCAAGATTTATGTTGATATATGAATGGCCATTGTGTATGTCAATATTTCAGCAAGAATTGCAAATCATTCTAATTCCCTGTCCAGAAGAGTTTTCTGGTTTACATTAATTAAAAAGACAATTTAGGCCACACTACTGCTTTCTTCCATTTAATGTACATTTAATTTTCCATCTATATCCACCTTCTCCTAGAAACATTCTATATTTTATGTGTTTCAACCTAGCATAGGGTTTACTTGTAGCAGTAGGGAAACTCTGAGAGATGGGGATATATACTGTTAGCCCCCCTAGCGGTCTGATTATGTCAGTATTTCTGTGCTCAAAGAGGTACATTTTTTTGCACGGAAATATGTTGTTTTTTTATTGTAGGCCTGTAATTCTTAGGAATAACTCACTGAAATCTGTTCGAACAAGAGTCTAGTAAACATTCCGGGTATGATAAAATTTGAAACACGAAATCATAAATTATAATATAATGAATAATCATAAAAAATAAAAATATAATAATCATAAATGTAATTCAATAATATAATCAAACCGAAAACACTGAAATTTTAAATATAGCGCCAAGTTCGCACATCACTGATCTTAGTCGCAAAATCGTTTTCAGTGTCTGAAGACAAATTTCCCCACAAATCATTATCACTCAATTCTGCAAGTGGTTCTAATTTACTATCGCTGTTCTCTAGCTGGTCTAAAACCGCTTTTGACCTAAAAGGATGCTTTTTGGACGCCATGGATGTTTCTCAGTTTCCAGGCACAAAGTAAAAAATGCAGGCAGGGCACAGGACAAAGCACTAGGGACAAAATGTATGTGAAATGCTTTGATACAGTAATGTTATACTATGAGATTTTAGTGTATTGAGTGTATTGAGTGAATGTCACATTTTAAAATTTTTTTAATTTCCCTCCGGTTCCATCCCCCGTACGTCCCGACGTTCGCAGGGAAAGGAGCCCAGAAGACGGATGCCGACATCGGCTGGAGGAGATGGCTGGGGATGCTTCAAGGGGGACATCGCGAGAGCGAAGGACAAGGTAAGTGCTGGAGGGAATCCCTGAGCAACGCTGCAGTATAATCCCGAGTGTAGCTTGTGGTTACCGCTTCTGGTACTGAAGGTTAACCCCGAGCTACACTCGGAAATACTGGTGGGGGGGTTAATGGAAATGTACTGTATGTGTAAAATCACATTCTCTATCATGGTTGGATCTAGGGGGGTTCTGGGGTGGGCTATGCCCCCCAGATTTTAGTTGTGCCCCCCCAAAGTCAATTGCCTCCCCCCCCAAACACCCTGCCTACCCGCTGAACCATACTGCAGACAGCTGCCCTCTCCTTGCAGCTTTGTAAATGTACTGCCCAGTTAAATCAATGATCTGGTCAGCAGGGAGCCCAGCGAGGTGATGAAGGCTGCCTGTACCACTCCCTTGCCCTCCTGTGGACGAGGAACTCTGCAGCCTGTGCCCAGGCTGTGTGTAGTGCAGGGATAGGAGAAAGAGCTCTGCAGAGTGCCCTGCCAGTAGTGACCCCTGTCATCTGCCCTACCAGCAGTGACCCCTGTCCTCTGCCCTACCAGCAGTGACCCCTGTCATCTGCCCTACCAGCAGTGACCCCTGTCGTCTGCCCTACCAGCAGTGACCCCTGTCATCTGCCCTGCCAGCAGTGACCCCTGTCCTTTGCCCTGACAGCAGTGACCCTGTCATCTGCCCTGCCAGCAGTGACCCCTGCCCTCTGCCCTGTCAGCAGTGACCCCTGTCCTCTGCCCTGTCAACAGTGACCCCTGTCCTCTGCCCTGTCAGCAGTGACCCCTGTCCTCTGCCCTGCCAGCTGTGACCTCTGTCATCTGCCCTGCCAGCAGTGATCACTGTCCTCAGCTCTGTTGTCTCCTATACACTGCCCTACAAACTAATGGCCTCTGTACACTGCCCTACATAATGCGGACCCTAGCCTTTGCCCTGCTGACCCCTTGTATAATGCCCTGCTGATCTTCCATCCTCTGCCACCTTCACATTGTTTACTGCACCTCCACATCAGACAGGCTACATCTGGCCCTGGTTTCTAACAATCTCACATTCTAACATTAACTCCCTAATGCAGTATTAAACCCAAAAGCAAAAATGTATTATATTGCAGCTTACCAAAGATTAGATGTGGTGGCTGCATCAGTTTTATTTTATTTACCCTTTTTCCCTCTGTTTTTACCTGGTGATTTGGTCTGCAATATGCCTCCTGTATTAGTGAGATACCATTCTGGAAGAATGAGCACAGGGGGCACCACAGACAGCACCAATATCAGTCTGGGGAGGAGGGGAGTGTTAAATGTATTAGCAGATTTTGAACCACTAAGACCTCTTTTACACGGACATTCTGATTGGGTCTGCCTGTCTGTTTTTCAGGTAGACACGATCAGTTTGTTTACACCAACCTACATACAATTAAATCTGCCAAAAACAGATGGATGAGGATCTTTTCCCTGTCCATCCAATGGAATGGATCGGATGGCAATTGGGTGTAAACAGACAGGAAGTCCATTTACATCTGACTGCTCATAGAGGAGGGCAGGCTCTGCATAAGTGGAGATCCCCTGATGAGCAATCGGAACATAGCTGGAGTCTGCCCCGTGTGAAAGAGACCTGACAAACTGAGACCAAACTCGAACTCATACTTTATAAGTTGCAGCAAACAGTTTTTTACCTTTTGGGATAAAGGGTTTACACGGATAAATAAAAGCTGATCATTTTATGCCCCCTTGTCAGTGTTAACCTCCCTGGCGGTATTCCCGAGTGTAGCTCGGGGTAAAGTTTCAGTACCACAAGCGGTAACCCCGAGCTACACTCGGGCTTACCATGCGGCGCTGCTCCGGGATCTGTTCTTCTCTTACCTTGTCCTGCGCTCCCGCGATGCCCCCCCTGCAGTGTCCCCTGTAATGTCCTCCGGCAGATGCCGGCATCTGTTTTCTGGGTTCCGTTCCCTGTGACGTCGGGACGTACGGGGACGGAATGGCGGGAAATTTAAAAATGTGAAAAAGTGACATTCACTAAATACACTAAAATCACATAGTAAAACATTACTGTATCAAACCATTTCACATACATTTTGTCCCGAGTGCTTTGTCCTGTGCCCTGCCTGCATTTTTACTGTTCTTTCTGCCTGGAAACTGAGAAACGTCCATGGCGTTCAAAAAGCTTCCCTTTAGTTCAAAATCAGTTTTAGACCAGCTAGAGAACAGCGATAGTAAATCAGAACTACTTGCAGAATTGAGTGATAATGATTTGTGGGGAAATTCGTCATCAGACACTGAAAACGATTTTGCGACTTTGCTCAGTGATGTGCGAACTTGGCGCTATATTTCAAATTTCAGTGTTTTTGGTTTGATTATATTGTTGAATTAAATTTATTATTATTATTTTTTATGATTATTTATTGAATTATAATTTATGATTTTGTGTTTCACATTTTAACATACCCGGGATGTTTACTAGACTCTTGTTCGGACAGATTTCAGTGAGTTATTCCTAAAAATTACAGGACTACAATAAAAAAAATACATATTTCCATGCAAAAAATGTACCGCTTTGAGCACAGAAATATGGACATAATCAGATCGCTAGGGAGGTTAAATATCATGTCTCATCCATTAAACTGATACATTCTGCTGGAGAGTTTGTGCTGTGAAAAAGAAGAGCCTTGCTGGCTGGATAACCAGATGAAGCCTAAAAAAAGGAAATTAATACAGCCATCACATCTAACAATTGATAAGCTGCAATATAATGAATGTTTGCTTTTGGATTTAATGCTGCTTTAAAAAATGTAACACAACAATATGCAACACACAAATTATCCTTCTTCCCATAATCTACCAGCCTAAAAAACATCAAGGTTTTTCGACCCTATTAAACCAAAGAAATATAATACTCATTAAAAACTGGGCATGTATATCTTAAAAAAACGGATGATGGCTATATGATGCTACTGATTTCTCTATATTTCAAGTGATGTATGCTGTGTTTATTGATAGAGATTGTGATTTTACATCTGAGGACAAACTATATTTGTATTCAAACTGATGACCTCAGTGCTACAAGACAGAAATGCTAACCACTATGCCACTATACCATCTTTCTTTCTCTTAAGTCCATTTTTTAACTGAAGCAAAAAAAAATCATGAAATGTTTTGGAGTCACACATTACTTTTTCATTCCACATGTAACAGCACCTGTTTGTATTACTCCAATTTGCAATTTTGTGTGAGTAGTAACCAAGTAACTGATAACCAAATACTTCTTTGTATACTATATGTACTTAGGGTGCTCAAGTAATACCACATCTTCATACAATGGCATAAATGTGTGGCCAAATTCTCCTAACTCATCTGAGTACATGTGGTAACCAAATCATAAAAATGTATTATTCATGTATAAAAATAGGATACAAAAAAATGTAGCCACCTTGCAAAGCAACCAGCTAGATCTCAATTTTCACTTTTTCTTTGCCTTAGATTTTACTAGTGACTCCTACTGGATTTTTATTGATAGATAAATGACATTTGAAAAGATTGAAAACAGAGGGTCCCATTTATCAGAATGTATGAGTGAAATCCCATGTTTTCAATGATGCCTGTATCAGCCAGATAGGCCTCTAATTAGCCCGTATTGCACTGGGGGACTTGGATAATGAAAAGGATAATCTGATTGGTTGCTCTTATCAATATAATGAGACAGGTATTTAGTTAGAAACTTGGATACAAATGTAAAGGTAATCAGCCACAGAAAACAAAATGCACTTTATCTGGTGCAAATTATATTAGCTAGATTAAATATTTTAGTCAATAAACTATTCTGTATACCACAGGGGAAAATAAGCTTGGTGTCTTGCATTACAGATGGTCACATATACATACTTAAGGCCCATTTACACCATTTGAGCTGGGATGCACTGAGCAACATTGCCCAGTGCTGTACTATTGCAAAAACAAGCCAATTTGCTTTGTTTCCTATGGTGTCAGTTCACATCACTGTGTTGCAGAGGTGTGCACTGAAATAAGTACTGTTGGCAATACTTTTTGCAGCAGGAGTTGTGGTGGAAATCACCACATCCCAATGTGCGAATAGAACTTAACACCTTAGTTTTTGTTTTTTGTTTTTTCAGAAAAAAAGATGGTACTTACATTTGATAAGAATCATCCCTTGTGCTGGTAACTGCTGTTTTAGTTGAAATCTTATGTCCTCTGCACCTCCCATGCCCTACAGTGGTAATCGTCCGGTGCTGTGGGGTTAATACAGTCACTGTACTAGTCATAGACGATTGTAAAGAATGCCAGCTAAGTCTGTTCTTTCCTTCTCCATTCATAGAAGCTGTACTATAGCTTCCATCAATAAAAAGCATTCTTTGAATGGAGGATTGGTGGACCAATTAAAGATCTGTCTCCTCCATTCATAGAGCCTTTGTTGATGGAAGCTATAGTACAGCTTCTATAGATTGAGGAGGGGGCAAAAACGGTGGGCATAGTTGGCATGTTTAACAACAGGTCCAGTGGCTGTATTAAACCCTGCAGCAGGGAATGAGGGGGCAGGAGATTTCAACTAAGAAAGCAACCACAGTCTCTTGTGTTAATTTAAAAACAAACAAACTTAAGCTTTAACTGCTTCCAGAAACACTGCTACAGGGCGGCACGGATGTGCAAACTCACGTGTATATACCTGATTTTGCATTTCCGGGTAGGGGGTGTGTGGCCACGGCTGTCAATCACCGGGTCCTGGCCAGTGATTACTCGCCGGCTCCCAGTGATTTCCGAGGATCTCCGACGGGGCGGAGAACTGTTTTGTTTACTAACAGTTCTCCTTCCTGTCAGCTCGGGCACACTGCTTTGGATGGCTGTGCACAGTACAGCCATCCAAAGCAGTGTGATTACAGTGAAGCACACTGACGCTGCCCGCTAGTAAAACACTCCCAGCACACAGTTAACCTTTTGACCCCCCTCATGTTAACCCTTTCCTGCCCAGTTGCATTAGTACAGTGTCAGTGCTTTTTTTTAGCACTGATCGCTGTATTGGTATCACTGGGGATGTCAGTGACACCAAGTCAGTTGCCACCAGTGTCAGAATGTCCACCGCGGTCCTGCAGTCCCGCTATAAGTCGCTGATCACTGCCATTACTAGTAAAAAAAGATCCCAGTATAGATACCACCATTTGTAAATGCTATAACTTTCACTTATACCAATTAACTTACACATATTGGGATTTTCTTTTTAGCAAATACATGTAGCATAATACATTTTGGCCTAAATTTATGACGAAATTTGATTTGTAAAATTTTTTTACTGGACATGCTTAATAGCAAAAAGTAAAAAATATTGTTTTTTTTCTCAAAATTGTCAGTCTTTTTTTAATTAAAATAAAATAAAAAATACACAGGCAAACAAATACCGCTGAAAAAAGCTCAATTCGTGGGGAAAAAAAGGACATTAATTTCATTTGGGTGCAGCATTGCATGACCACACAATTGTCAGTTAAAGTAAATGGCCTGGTCAGGAAGGGAGGTAAATCCTCAGGAGGGCCAGTGGTTAATCAACTGTCACTTTGTATGACATTACAGTAATATCATCAAAGGATCAATTCACATTTAAAAAACCTGACAGTTATTTTTAGTCTAACGATATTTTAAAATCAGTCACATGGATAAAATAAGGATCTATACCCTTGTGCTTAGGTTTTGTGAATTACTGGGACTCGTGGGAGACGTATGATGGCTGCCAATGCAAGATGCATGGCTTTGTCAGACTTTTTCGTCCTGGAACTAGCATGTTATAAATAAGTGTTTGAAGGTGTCAGAATTATTGTGCTTATCTTTATACTTGTTCTGCATTCGCTTTTCAGGCTGTATTGAAGTCTAAGTATCAGAATGACAGTCAGGGAACCAGCATTCTGTATGAAGAGTTCAGTAATAGCAGCCTCTATGAATCTATCATGACAGTGTTCCTTTAAGCAACATGCATCATTTTTTCCTAGCTTACAGACTTCTCTACATGAACACTACTTTTCTCATAATGGAGTTAACATTAGTAATTGTCCTGTGTACCCACCATGCACTAGGCAGATTCCAAATCATATACAGTACGTATTACAGATGTATACAATATAATTTGTGTACTTAAAACAGTAGGCGAGCTTAGCTCAGACAGCTATGAAAGTTATATAAGAGACACGTTGGTATTTTTCCGTGGTCTTTAAATTAAATTGTGTGCTGTGGCCTCAGTGCATCTCCAAACATTATGAATTTATGTGTGTGTTCAGCTTTACAGTATTAAAACAATTTGTCTATAAAATATAGAGCATTATGACAGAAAAACATCAATCCAGAATTAATTTACTTATACAAATACAGCAAGTGAAGTTTTTCAAAGCATGCTGCATGCCAGCACCTTGTTAATAGACACTGATAAAACAAAGAGAGACTTCCAATAAATACTTCATAGTATGAAATGAAATATGAATGCAATTGAATTAAAAATGAAGTGCTGCAGTTACAATGTATCTACATAAATAAATTATTGAAACAGGAACAGCTGTAAGCTTTCTTACAGTGAAAGTCCATAACAGAAACATCAAAATTATAGCCACGTATTAAAATCTTAAATTCTTCAACCAATGAAAAAGTCAAGATTACATGTCCAGAAGCATCGAGGTAAGTGCACACAAAGGTGTTAAATCATTGTTAGGTTGTGTTATTCATTTTGCATTTAGGTTGGAAAAAGTTATTAATTCTTCATCCAATTTTTGATGTTTGTTTCAGTCTGCATGTCAATTTGTAGCTGGTTTTGGACATTGGACACAATAAAATAAACATTCCCAGTAAACTAGAATTCTTAATTCAGCACTTGCAGTTTACACTTTTAAATGTTGCTGGCTCCTGCTCTCTTGGTGCCGCTTTCATGAACTTTCAGTCCTCACAGGAAAGAGCTAATCTATTGGCTTGGAGGAGGGAGGAGGAGTAGTGAAGTGCCTTGCTATCCTGGGCTATGGGGTTGTGTGTTTCTATTGATGCACACAG